AGATGAGTCAGAGCTAACTACCAGGTGTTACTTCCTGCAGCTACATATGAGCTCCTTGTGATTTTGTGAGTTATTTTTTCTTTATATGTTGAAAAGAAAGATATTTGGGGCCTTGGTTTTGCTCCTAATTTTGAGCTATGGATCTGATCAATGAGTAGTTGGGGGTACATACCTTAAACCATTCCTGTTGACCTAGATAAGTGTTTGTGTAGTTTGTGGGGAGACTCATGATCCTGAACTAGATGGAGTCCCTTACTCTGACACTGAAATATGTCTATAGTGTTGTCCTACACTCTCTGCCTGAACATTCTTCTCAACCTCTGTTCACTATATTCTTTTATCAGATACAATCACATGGTGTGTCTCACAATCCTGTTTTGGTGTCCTTGGTGCAGATAGGAGCACCCCACAGCCAGCCAAGAGCCTTTTTCATTGGTGGCTCTGCTAATTAACTTTCCTGTGTCAAGAGATCTCCACACTCTTGCCAGCACCATGATGGATGCACATCTCTCTCCTAAGGGAACTGGGGCATCATTCGAATGCTAAGCACATGGCTTCTATGAGTGTAACCTCCTATCACACAACCACATTGCAACCTGTCCTGCAGGCTCTTCCTAGATGTGCTTTCAAACAACTGTAAAGGATGGTGCAGGACATCTTTCCCCCTCCACATTCATACTGGTGTGATTTCTCAGCCATCTTTAATGGTTCATTGCAGAATAAGGACAACTGGAGGTAGGAATGAGGCAAGGACTATCTGGACAAGATTTGGAAAGGAAACACTCAGTTGCACACACAGGAATTACTTTGGTGTTTCTAATCAAGCCTTGAGCAAATTCTGGCTTTCTAAGGAGGGGAGGTGTTCCATGGCTGTGTCCCAGGAGAGTCTCCAGGAAAGGGTCCCTCACCTTCCTGTCAGTACAGGAGAACATTAGCAGGGAGCCAAAGGCTGTACCCCATGACATCAGCAGTTCGTTCTTGGACATTCTATTGTCTCCCAGAGAGTCCTTGGCATCCCCTGTGATGTCACCCTTGTTGTAGTAACAGCAAGTACAGCAAAGTGACTCATTCAGTGTCTACATACAGGATACAGTAAAGACATGTTTACTTGACTGAGAAGACTTTTTTAGAGAAAGGATGGATGTGACAGAGAGGAGGGAAAGGAGGAAGGGAGCTGGCCTTTCACCTGAGAGTAATGAAGGACGAAGGAGGTGGTCTTGGAGAATGTGGCGTAAGTCCTGGGTAGTGGATGTTGAGAGTCCTGGAAGGGGTGGGCTTGAGCTGGCCTTTCTATCAATGGGGCAGAGGAACTGGAGCCTGTAGGAAGCAAAAGGATTTCCATGATTATCACAATTCTTGAACATGAAGGATTTCAGAACATTACTTTCCCTATCCCTTAAGGCAGGAGAGGGCAAGTCCAAAGCTGTTATTCTGTGCAATCCAAGTCTTTACTTTTATGAGGTACTGTGGGTCTTTCATGGGGACAGAATGATATCATCAGGAGTCACAGAGGGTCTAACCTATGCCAATTTATGGCAAGGCATCACTGTACTTCACTCCCATGGCTTCTTATAGCCTCAGTGGCTATCTGACAGCACTAGGGAGAGAGTTGTGTTCCTGGCCATAACCTTATGTTCTCAGAGTTCCTCTGACCTCCTCTCCCTGACAGTACCCACCTTAGCTTTCTTTATCACTGGTCCTGGGCAGCAAGCATTTCCCTACTGTAAACAAACACCTGTCAGACTTGATACACCCAGACAGAGACAGTATCCTCTTGCCCTTTCTAGGGTGTTTGGTGTTTCAGTAAGGGGAACTGATCAGTGTGTTGACCATGTCCTTCCTCTGCATGATATTTTAATCCCATGTCCTGGGCCTAGAGTAACAGGGTAGGAGATCTGAGTACTCTATGCACTCAAGGACCTGTGGATAGTGAATTTATTATCTGACTGTGAAACCACAGGACTGAGGGCTCTGAAGCCAAGTTGTACTCTGCAATAATCCTGGAGAAGCCATCTCTCTGGTCATCATAGGCATGTGTAGGGAGACAGGGGAAATACCTGGCTGCTTACATCTCCTGGTCTCTATTGAGTGATGGGAGAGCTGAGATCCCTGAGGTGGTATCTTAAGCCTGAACCAAACTATTTGACAATTGTGTCTTATGTTCCAGGCAAGTTTTCCTTGTGTTTTGGCCTCAGGGTGGTCTGAATACACTCTATTCATTCTCAGTATGGAAGTTCATTGGGTTTACTCTACCTGCAGAGGTTCGCAGACGGACATCATCCCCTGAAAGTGTCCTAATCAAGAAGGTGGCCATGGAGGAAGAGGAGAGGCTGACAGAAGAGCTGCAATTCATTACCCAGAATACAAATGGAGCGAGAGATCGGCTGATCTTCCTCACAGAGGGATCCATTAACAAGAGGTGTGCATTGTTCCAAACCCTGTGTTGTCAGTATGGGGTCTGCAATGTCACTCTCCTCTTTTCCATTTTAGGTGGTGGATTCTAGGAAACTGTACCTCCAGAAAGTCCATGTGTCCTACCTCATGTCCCTAAATACTTCTTAGAGGAGAGACATTACCTGAAGCTTGGTCAGGAGTGAGTTGGGAAATGCACTCTTCTGCTTCCTCCAATGAAAAGTTGAACTTGTGGTCTGGGTAAAGAAGTCAGGGATAGAGGTAGTAGAGAATGAGTTCCCAGCATGCCTTTGGAAAGCCCTTAAGAAGCTGTGACTTTGTGAAGTTCTAGGGGCTGTTTGTGGTGAGTCTTTGTACTTGGCTGGCAGGTGACTGAGTGCTGGATGCTCCTGGCAGAAGCTGGAGGGGCCTGGTCCCACATTGTTCATCTCAGTGCTTGAGGAGAAGGCCTGAGGCTCACGACTGTCTTGGTAGTCTTGGTCTGTGTGCCTTATACTCTGAGGCAGTATTGTTGCATGCATTTCCTCTGCATCTCATTGTGCTCTCTCGTTTTCTGTCTCTGTTCCTCTTTCTCATTCTCTGACTCTGGTTCCTCTTCTCATTCTTGTGAGTTAGTCCAATTTTGTGAGTCTATGTGTGTGTGTGTGTGTGTGTGTGTGTGTGTGTGTGTGTGTGTGTACATCTGCACCTACATGTGCATATGTTTTGTATGTTTCCATTTCCGTCCATGCTTTGTAATCTTTGTTTCTGTGACTTGGCCTGGAGATTTACCTGTAAACCAGTTTCAAGGTGATGTGAGTGCTGAGATCTGGGAGCCCCCTCTATACATAGCAATGCTCTTTGCCTAAGTTGTCACAGTTGTCCATAGATTTGTATTCCTTGGGCAGATTATAAAGCTGTGGAAATGCCTTGTCTCATCTCCAGAATTATGTGTAATGTCTGTCTGTACACTTTAATTATCCAAGATGTAGAATCTCTTTTATGAAAACAGGTGAAATACAGTCACAGGTTTCTGCTGAACAAATACTTGTGGCCTAGGCTCTTGAGACCATACCTCTCTAGATTGCCCTCCATCCTTACTGAGTGAATATAGGGAGCCAGGGCACCCTCCATCTGGATGCCTAACTTCTGCTGCCCTGGGGCCAGGATAACAAGTTTCCAAAGGTGAAGAAGATGCCAGTACATAGAGTCAAGAAAATGGCTTTCCCGGCCTGGGGTAGTACAGGACTCAAGCTGAGTTCATGTGTTCCTGAAAGCCCATGTTCATGGAGTTCTGTCTTCCTGGGGCCAGGCCCTTCCGCAGGCTAGATCCACAGTATGAGCTATTGAAGTACAAGGAGAAGAAGGTGATGTCATTTCTGCACAGCATAGAGATAGATACAGTCAACTCCCGTGAAAACCTCCAGGAGCTCAAGAAGGAGACTAACTTCTATAGGTAAGTACTGGTCAGGGAGACCACCAGGTGTGGAATGGCCATTTCTGCATTACTTTGTGACTGGACTAGAGAGTCTGAAGGTCTGTGTCTCTCCCTTCAGCCTTTTAGCCATCAGTGTGCCTTGGGCTTTTGGACTCTGTCTTCATAAGTCTGAAAGAGACTGTCACACCTCCCAACCTTGTTCAGGCATCCCCAGGAGCCTCTGGATAGAACTGTGGTTCAGTTCCTGAGAGGTTTATTATGCAGTACTCTGCCTCTGGGGCTTAGGCAGGGTGTTACCCAGCTGAGTGCGATGGAACACATAGATAGTATGCCCTCTCCTTGGTTCTACTGACCTACGTTGATGGTATTTGCCCCCCTACTAGTTAGTTGATGTTGCCTCAATGCAGTGGGCTGTCATAGATAGATGGAGATCCCTCTTTCTTTTGGAGAGACATGGACCTTATTGGTATTTGGGATGTAGAGATCATTTTTTTCTTCCCTGAATTGGCTGTTTGCTGTTTGTGCAGCTGTGATGGATGTGTGAGTTATAGTGTGTTAGATCCTCATGGGAACCGGGGTCCTGGTGGAGTTAATGGGACCTGGAAGTAGTAATGGGAGGAAGTAGGAGGCTGCAGGATCTTACTATGTAGATGTTGTTTCCAGCAACCTGCATAACCGGATAATGACAGAGAAGAATTTTGTAAAGGAGGATTTGGATGCACTGAACCAGGAGATCATGACAGTACAGGTTGACTTGAATGTAATCCTGAAATATTTGGTTGACTTCAACCAGAACGATAAAGATGAACAGGAAAAGACCAGCAAACTCCAGACCCAATACCATCAGGTAGGGACAAGCATCTGAGTTCGGCTAATCCTGTCTGATGACATTTGCACATTGGATCCATCTTTGCTTTATCCCAGAACCTTTCTAATCCATCCTCCCAACCAGCCACCCACCTCATGGGATGCAGTTGTTCATTGCTCTGTCTAGGCACAAGTACTCTGTGACGTTAGTCTTTTGTGAGTCCCTGAATTGTGGGCAAGTGTACCTTGTTGCTCTGCTTGAAGCTGCAGTGCAATAAGGATAACAGATGAATAACCTGTCACACTCCTGCATTTTTTCATGATAAGAGATTTGCTGTGCAGAGCTGTGAGTGAGTTCTGGGTCCTGAGACAG